GAGTCGAGCGCCATAACCACCTGGCCATGCCGGGCCCAGTAGTTTTGTGCTCGCCCTTTCAGCCGTGGGGGCGTTATAATGTGACGGTCAATCCCACTATTCGTTGGTAAAAGAATAGCCCAAGAGTTGGCGGTGTGTGGTGATGACTAGCTGCCTTCTCTCTAGTCTTATACTGATAAATTAGGGATGGCTAGCGCAGATAACCCTCGTGTAGCTTTACACGAAATTCAAAACAAACAAACAAAACTACTGACGATTATAATACCCTATGCTGTAGCTCCATTTCACCGAAATATCACTGTGCATTGAGTAACATAGAAGTCATAATATCGAGTGAACGTAACATTTTAAAACATTTAACAAGCAATCTCCGTCTCAACGGCAGCAGAAATGGTAGGATACTTTGTAGGAACCATGCCAGCAGAAATTGTAGAGCTTTTTGTCGTAAACATATCCATAATTTTTTTCTGAAAATATAGAGGAATAAGCATTATTTTATCAGGATTCCAGAGGTGTATAATTGGATAACATCCCAAAGAAGTTATGATTGGTTTTTGTCATTAGAGTTGGGTGATTTTTACCCTAGTTAAGAAAATAATTATGGCATTGATGTAAAACATTATATATGGAACACTTACATTACTGAACTTTTTGTGAAACCTATGAGTAACTGCTGAGACAACAACACAGAATCTCTGAGTGTTTGTTCTTGTCGAGATGGGAACGAGGTCGGATTCGACGTTAACCTGCAAATGTAAAGTAGCAAAATGTCCGAGGTATTACAAGTGCACCAGATGTGGATGCAATCACGGTGGCACACAAGTTACTCAAAAAGAAGTTGGTCGAAAAAAAGAAGGCCAGAGAAGTTTTGGTGACGGAGGTACTGTCGATCGCCCAGTACGTTTGCGTACAGGAGTGGTAAACTTACAGATGAATCCGACGACTTGCCCTTAATGGGTATGAGAGCAAACGGAGGAGAGCGATTCAAGATCAGGTAATGAACGAAGAATACGAAGACTATTTCATAGTAATCTTCAAGAGTTTTACAAGGTAAAAGGAGAGAGGAGCACTAAAGTAATGGCAAGATAGCATGACCATAGCGTGTGTGTGGTTCACTTTAGTATGAAAGAAACACCTTAACAAGTACTCAGATAAAAGAAAACATCACAGCAAAATGATCCTTGGATCATGCCTCTACACAACCATGTTTCCCATTCTTAGGCTTCTGGATTTCCGGATCTGATGTTATACCCCACCATTTACCAAAATAATCATCTTCTCTGCTCTTAAGTCAGAGATTGCTTATTAAACATTAAGCAACATTTTGTAGCCTCAGAAGCATTAGAGTTTTTGCATTAATAAAGGTCTTGCAGGCACGTACTGATAACTGAAGCACTGGGAGAGACTAGAACCCAATTATCACAGCATTCCAAAGGTCGGTATTAACGATAAATATATTGGCTTTCTGGTAATAGATCGTATCATTCTTCGTGAAGATATAACGAGAATAACGAGTTTAGGCTGCTCATTCTCATTCCAATTGAAAGTTGTGGAGTCTTATTGGAAAAAAATACAAAGGAATAGATGTGTAGTTGAATTGTACGTTATGTATGTTAATTAATTTAATTTAATTCGCATCTAACACTACCAACTCAGATGAAAACGATCTAACGATTTATAAATGTGTCAAGAGAATAAGAATGTTCATACCTGGTGTGGGGCAGAATCCTCAAGTCAATATTTTTACTTAGAGACCTTGTTTTTTTATCACAATCTGGTGTGAAATATAAAAGTTAAGTGACTCACTTTAGAACATTCGTGACCGGTACAGCTGTTACTTGCTACAAAAAACAACAACAAACGAAAGTATAAAAACAGTAATCTCTCAATTACCCACTATTCAACCACACCCAGGGCAGGCAAAGGTGTAATTGGTTGTCTTTTCATCTCATTGGCATCTGGAATAAATTTAAGTCAGAGTTTTAAACGTCAACAGTTTACGAAGTAATAGAACTAAGAAATCTAATATTCACGGTATTTGTGTTGTTTTTCACAATTTTCTTAATCAGCCCATTAGAGATTTCAAGTCAGATTTGTAAAATAGCATTTTATACCTATCTTTTGTATGCCTCAAGGCACTGTCCAGGAGTTCTTTCGTTAGATGATAAAACTCGTCAGCCAGGCTGGATAAAATTGAGTCAAAAGTCAATATATAATTCCAGTATATATATGTATTACGAACAATATAACGTTACGGTATTAAACACCGAAACATGGCGAAGCAGTTACAACAACAGGCCTAATCTTCTTTAAGAAAATTACACTAAACTATACATGCTAAGTTCCCTAATTCCCTTTAGCTAATCCATTATGAATTTTGAATAAGAAATGTATAAAAAATTCATTACACAACTATATGTTGTGTGCCACCAGTCACTCACTACGCACTACTTTCGTTCAGTGCTATAGCAACCAAAATATGATCAAAAATATTTTTATGAAGTATAAAATACGTAATGGGCGTTCAAATGGAAATAAAAGAGTTGTTATTTATGATTTAAATCACGTAAGAAAGCAGATGTTTTACTTTACACTTCTCTTAATTAGTACATTACGAATTTCAATCACAGGTGTGTACGTCACACGTAATTGACTAAACAAAATGAATGTGAGGGAACTAGTATTTTTCGTTTAGTGTAATTTTACCACGTAAATTAGGCCTATTGGTTCTATTGCTTCGTCAGCTAGCAGTGTTAACACTACATCACTGAACTTTTCATACTTCATATTAAATAGCGTTTTAGATCTGCCATCCTAGCCCACGTCAGCTGACGGTTTCCGGTATTCAAGGAAAGGGATCCTGAACAATGAGTGTTCTTTTTACACAGCTCGGATTTGAAATATGTAATGGAGTAATTTAAGAGGAAAACGGAGATCTAACATCTGCAGTTTATCGTAATTTCTTATAACGAATATATTTGCGTCTATGCTTGTTTAACTGGGTCTTATAAAGCCTAGCTTTTGTGGTAAAGCAAATGTAATATAATGTTTTAACAAATGAACGGTCACTATGTATATGTATATTTCTCACACTGGTTACATTTTCAATACCTATTGTATAATGTTTTAACTGCGGAGCGACCATTGTGTTTACACTTGTCAATGGGGCTACATAGTTCTAAATGAGAAACAGTTGTTGTGTCCACAATGATCACATTTGCAGTATTTGATTTGTTTAAACTACTATGTCTGTATTGGTCATACTTAAGGCACCTATATTTTTTAAAACAGTCAATTTATTCAAACTACTCTATCTGTATTAAAGGTCAATCTGTTCAAACTACTACATTTGTATTTGTAGTAATTGTCAATATGTTCAAACTACTGTATCTATATTAAAGGTCAATCTGTTCAAACTACTGTATCTCTATTAAAGGTCAATCTGTTCAAACTACTGTATCTCTATTAAAGGTCAATCTGTTCAAACTACTGTATCTGTATTAAAGGTCAATCTGTTCAAACTACTGTATCTCTATTAAAGGTCAATCTGTTCAAACTACTGTATCTGTATTAAAGGTCAATCTGTTCAAACTACTGTATCTGTAGAAATGGTCAAGTTGTTCAAACTACTGTATCTGTAGAAACGGTCAATTTGTTCAAACTACTGTATCTGTAGAAACGGTCAATTTATTCAAACTACTGTATCTGTAGAAACGGTCAATTTATTCAAACTACTGTATCTGTAGAAACGATTAATTTGTTTACATTACTATATATGTAGAAACGGTCAATTTGTTTATATTACTGTATATGTAGAAACGGCCAATTTGTTTATATTACTGTATATGTAGAAACGGCCAATTTGTTTACATTACTGTATCTGTATCGGTCACACACACACACACACACACATATATATATATATATATACACACATAATACTTACACATAATATTATCAAACTGTCAAATATCATGAAAAGCTACACTACAGTACTCTAAAAGCAGAAAGTTTTTTATATATTTGTAATTTAATTTACCTATCAAAAGACGTCAATAAATTGTTAAATCATAAATAAACCCAATTTTTGGAAAATTTATTTTATACACTGGTTATTTCCACGTACGAATTTTTTATTCCTACGGACATTTGTGCCCTCTTAAGCTTTTGTCCTAAGAAAATGGAATCTATTTGTGAAGTAGATACAGACTGAACGTACTTATGAACATCTAGTGAAACAGATGCATCAAACCTTCCGGATTAAACTATGACAAAACTATAACAATATCGTAAAGAAAGTGATTAGTTATCAGAAAATAAGTAAAAATGAAAGTAAAAATTAATAGTTAATCTTTTATTCCTTGGTTTTTCTACAGAAAATGTCAAATGATTTCGAGACGCTACTGCAGGGAATGAGCCTAGAATTTTATCATTTTAAGCCCTCAAGCTTATCTTCGGGTCACATGGGCTGGGCTGGTTATGCTTATCGTAAAAGGGTACTTAGGCTATACGAGGATCATAAACCACAAGACAAATAAACGTATGAAATGTTCAGGTTTTTTATAAACAAACTAATAATAATTAACTGTATGTTTACCTCTAAACAAGTTTCTAAATCTAAAGGAAGTAACACCAAAAAGACATCGAGGTTCAAAACGATTATTAAAACGTTGTCAGAATTACAAGACGATCAGATGGCTCGAGGCACGAGGTCTCATAAGTCTGTTAAACTGCCTTGAGACCTTCAGCGATAATAAATCGTTTGTGTTTGCATTTGGTACGTGCCTTTTAAAGTTAGTTACAAAAGCGTTGCAGAGAATACCTTCTCGGGATCCATCAGTTTATTACATCACCAGACAATGAAATGTATAGCATGTGTTGAATGCAAAGAGATTAAGATAATAGGTTTTAAGTGATATTTTATTGGTAATTGTATAAAACTCCCAACTCCCTCAGTCCCCCGTTATACAGTAATCTTCAAATAATTAAGCTACTCTTACCAAGACAACCCGAGTCCTTCCTCAAGGTTCCGAATGAATTCAGGGCTAAACAAAAAGTCTTTTGATGAAAATACCCGAGCCTAGGTCAGGTAGGAGTTGCTCTTCGATTATCTGACTCAGCACAATAAGTAGTCGAAGATCAGAACTTATATTTTCTTATCAGTTGTAATTGTTCTTATTCATCTCTCATTCACATTGTTCACACTATTTCAGTTATTGGGAATTCTTATTTGAACGCTTCCTCTCGAAGCAAAAGCAAGTGTGTAGTTACAACTTACAGTTAGCGTTAATACTGGATACACTACGTATGATAACCACTAATACAGCTAATAGTAATATAGATTAGTAATGGTAGTATGCCATTAAAGACCTGCTTATATGACTCATTTCACAATCATAAAGTTTAAAAAAGGAATGAGAGTATGATACTTAGAAGTGTGAAGTGTCACGCCGCAACCGCAACGGTTCTGAGCGACGTGAAACACGCTGTCCTTAAACATTCAGCACACCAACCACTCCTCTATACTCTACACCTTTGCAATTGTTAGCAGACGACACAAGCTTTGATCGAAAGAGCGCGAGCGCCACCGCTATTAGAAGACTAGTCTACTTTAAAAACAACAACAAGGGGGGATTGAAGATTGCATGAAGTGGTAAAATGCGTTAAGGTAACAGCACACGCTCATACGAATCCTCTATGAAACTAGAGAGACTGCGAGATTGCTTTGCTTTCCTCTCCAAGCCTGAGAAAATAGGTCACCCTCCTAGCTCCTGTTTGGTCTTGCCCTTCTAAGAGGCGTGGGTTTCTTCACTGCGTTTCATAAATGATCAGAAACAATGAACCGATGCCTACCTACCCCGTGGCGACACTTCTACGGCGGTGAGAATACAAAATAACTTTTGCAAGTCAAGAAACCGGCAAAACAAGCTATTCTACTGCCGACTTGTTTCTACGTCTGCAGCCGCCGCAAACCAGATTAGATTTTATATTACGTACGTCTTATTTGAAAGTACTCCTCGAAAAACAAACATTTTATCTCAACAAGATTGAACTGTATATGGAGAAACAACATTTTCATAGAACGTGAACACACAAACTCCTACCAGTTACTGAAATCTAAATCTTAATCCATTATTGTTTTCCAGAATATTATACCAAACTATCACTTTTCTTTTAGTTCGTCAAACTTAACAGTTTTTTTTCTATTGCGCACATTGAACATTTTTTAACAAATTATTTGTTTCGCATTTATTTTATTTCATCTTGTTTGTATCCACCGATTTATGTTTTCATATGATACATACAAAATAAAATACATACAACGATATATTTTGCCAATATTCACGGTAATTGAACACCAACATCTGTAAGTGGGCGTTAACAATGTGGAAAAAAACACTCAAGACAAACACGCACGAAACAAACCATATGCAATGTACACCAACTGCAGGATTAACGGAAGGTTGAGTTTTATAACTCGAACAGCGATGGAAAACATCCACAATATAAAAACTATAACAACAAAATCAAAGTTACACTACTTACAGGCAGGGCTAGTTAAGGAAGGAAGGAAGGAATGGATGCAATGACCCTGCCCCACCCCATATTGTAGAGACCCTTGATTGATTGAGAGAAAAATAAAAAATAAGCAGCAATTGGATATCATTTCTCATTGAAAAACATATTTTTGTAACTATTTCACTATAGCAACAGTGATATAGTCGTTCATATAAACCTATAATTTGGTAATTTTTTATCAACATGTTCTTACAGCTTGTTCTTGCACAAATATTTACTCGGCCATTTGACATAAAAAATTATTATTGCCTTATATTTATTATTAAACTTTGTAGTAATTACTTTATCATAAATATTAGATTTAGTATTGTATATATTAGTTACTCGTCGCTTGGGTTTGCGTATTGCACAAACTGTAGTTAATAAATAATAATAACAATTGTATTTGACTTATTTATGGTCCTTCAGTGGGTCAGCGGTAAGTTTACGAACTTACATCGCTAAAACATCCGGACTTCGGATCTCCGCGGTGGACAGAGTGCATATAACCCTTTGCGCTAAGAAAACAACAATAACGACTTACTTGAGACTTACTCCAGCCCCGATTACAGGAGAAACTCGGGTAGAGTGCTTCATTCTATGTCTGTTACTTTAAGATTGTCAGGTATTGTGACAGTGCGATCTTTAGCTTTTATTATAATGATGAATTAATGTTGATATAGATAAATTTCAATATTTTATGATGTTCGTCGGGTGGCTGGTTGGGTGATCGATCGCATAACACGGAGCTCTTTGTAGGCTTAGTAACATGAATTATGTATTGCAATATTTCATAACATTGATATACTGACGTTGTAAGACATTGATATGTATTACAAGTGGGATACTGTCATACCCACAAATAGCCGCGGGAACTGTACGGTATGTAAACTCGGGACATTATAGGTTGGATTTAAGCGCCTGGATCTAACAATGCATGCTGAATTTATTTTGTAAACATTTTCATTTTTCACTTTTGTTAGATATATAATACTGAGTGATATCCACAACGCTCTTTAACTGCTACTACCGCAGCTGTATCGGGTTTACACTTTTGTAAACTAGCGTAGTGTGTAGCCTAATAGTCAGTGTGCTCGGAATGTGAAGCCGAGGACTCATGGCTCGCGTCACGTTGACGTAAAAACGCACTTCGGTGTCATGGTTACGCTATATGAGTGACGATGACAGTCCAATCCCAGTATTCTGTCAAACAAGTAGCCCAAAAGTTGGCGGTGGGTGCTTTTCACTAGCTAGCTACCTTCCCTTTAATTTATCAGTTCGAAATTAGGTTCGGTTATGCGCATCGATCCTTGTGTAACTTTACGCGAAATCAGATTTTACTTGAATTGGTAAAGTATTTTTCTCTTTTTTTTGCGCGCGTATCTTTGAGACATGCATGATTATATACACACGCACATATACATATATAATGGTTCCTAATATTCGTGATGGATTATTGGTTAACTGCGCAGAATTCTAAGAAGTGGAATTAGCATACGGAACACATCTTTGTCTTAACCAATCACACTTCTGAAGCTGACTTTAATTTTACTGGTGTATCTTCCGATCATTAGTTGCTTAGAAAACTAAACCGAGGTTTTTGAGCTCTTTCCAACGAACGTTGAGAATAAAACTTGTATTATACAGTGAATGACAGGACAGTTTATGAAAATGCTGTGACTAATATTGGGGTCATACGATAGTGCTACAAACCTTTGATAGACGAGTGGTGCACGATAGTTCATTGCCACGCCCATGTTTACCATGCACTCTTGCGGAAATAGATTTCTTTAAATTATTAAGCACTTTTTCACTAGGACACTGTACAGGAAAGTTTTCGTGACAATCAGTCATTTCCATATTTAATGTGATTCATCAAAATCAGTGTGCCCTTTACCACTTTTTCTCTCTTTCTCCGAACCTCCCGAAGCGTAAAGTTGCTACAGTAAACCAAAAATTACAGACCACGTGCTGAATAACGCAAAACATTTTGCGCGATCTACCTCAATGACAATTTATCGATTAAAATGTTTCTCTTGCTATCTATACTTATATTTACCAGACGACGCTGTATATTATTAAAAAAAAAACAATAATTAATGCATGATTTCCTTTGACACTCACTTGAAGTTGCATGACTGAATTCCTTTTTCTAAGTATTACACAAACGCACTCTAGCGAATTTTAATAACCGAGGTAAAATTTTGAAAACGGTTCTTGTAGAAATATTTTCTACAACAGCAATTTTAATTCCTTCTATAGTGTTCTGTCTCTATACATGTATATTTAAAGACAGGCAGATAGAGGACAAAACAGAACAAGGGATTGTGATATTATTGTGTACAAAAGTCTCGCAGGTAAGTCAAACTCAGTAATAACAAGGATTTCATTGGTAAGTAAAGTTCTGATAATGTGGTTTGAATTTCGCACAAAGCTACAAAGGATCATCTGCGCTAGCTGTCACTAATATAGCAGTGTAAGACTGACTAGAGGGAAGGCAGCTAGTCATCACCGCTTACAGCCAACTCTTGGGCTACTCTTTTACCAACGAATAGTGAGACTGACCGCCTCATTATAACGCCTCCACGGCTGAAAGCATGTTTGGTGGGACAGGAATTCGAACCAGCGACCCTCAGCTTGCGAGTCAAGCGCCCTAACAGCGCCGATGTGATGATGGGCAGAAAGAAAGTCAAGGCAGAACCTGATGAATGCTATGCCGACTACACCATGACTGAACATAACAAGGTCACTTGGTGATTCTCTGAAGAACGTCAGCTCTAATGAAAGTCTTATTCTGTACATCATTAAAAAAAGGTGCATCCTGTTAACCACTATTAGACCTTTTACTGGCACAACTGGTCCTGACATCATTTTGATAAACAATAATGCTTCACTGTACACCTGTCTTCACTGTCTACTTTTGACTGGAAACTGTTGTGACACTTGTTTAGCTATCACTTTTTCCTAACCTCGGCCCTTTAAAACACATCTTTTATCAGTTTCAGGGGTATATTTTACTAGTTATATTACATATATTTTTCAGGGAAAAATATTAATAAAAACAAAACAAACTGAGCACTATAGAAAACGACTGTGATTTGAACGGTGGGTTTTAAATTAGTGGCATACATAACTTCAAAGCATTTTCCAGATCATTACTTAGAATGAGACAAACAACTACGTCACAGTAAATATATCTGACTTCGAAAGTTTATCCTTTGAATAGCTTTTAAACTTATGTGTCAATAAAACTTCTCCCAGAAGCTTTCTAAACCAACATACTTAGGAATGTCTTACTTTTTATATACATGAGAAAAAACAACATAATTATTTACTTGGAAGACTGTGTATACCATTAACTATTTTTGCATATTACTTCGAAGAAACAGCATGGATAAATACTGGGAAAAGCATTTTATTTCAAATTGAAGAAGACTAAATGTAACTTATAAACTAAATAGGAAAGATAGGACGAATAATGAAGTTAGGGAGTCTAAAATGTGCGAATAAAATTTTTGACTCTTGAATTCATACGTGTGATGTACTTAAAATCAACCATCTCAGACTAGGTAGTAAATGATAGCTTCAACTCTGTCTTCCACCTGTCCATTCATCTAGTCTATCTTATTGTCGCCCTAGAAAGTTTCTGCAACCAAAAAAAAAAAAAAGAGTAACATCCGACGAAGAAATGCAGGTGAACTGAATCCATTTAGAAACTCAATAAAGACAAAAGTAACCTTATTCTTTCGAAAAGTTAGTCTCTTGTTTCGGAAAAAAGGCATGGTCTGTAATCAATCAGAGATTTAATTTGAAGTAAGGAATCAATTAAGTTACAAATCATTGGACATTACAGGAGAAACTGCTGAAATTCAGTAAGTACAAAAAGTGATGATGATAAGTAGAAATATCAATGAAAGGCTTCAAATAACTAGATATACATAGATATCAAAGAA